TGACTGAATGTCCATCTTCGTTCAACATACCATTTGCTTATTTGATCTGTACAAGCTAGAATATTAATCAATGAAAAGAATTGCTCGCCTTTGAATGAGTGTTGCCGCCTCATAATGGCACAATTTGGAACTAAAATGCCCAATCGCTTTGGTCTAAGAAACCTAGCAGTGTTCAACTTCAACAAATCATGGACGGATTTTTTTATAGATACTGGTGCGCCCAGACCTGCTCGGTATACACACTGAGTGTACACGTGTGAACTAACGTAGTAGACACCAGAGGCCGTTACCATGGAGAACATCCACTTGTAGCAGTGACAACTGCATGATATCGGGGGTATCACGAGGTCATGGGTAAAATCGCCTTGATAAAGGTTACCCACGTTAAGGGAAACCTCGGCTTATTTTCACCTGTACCGACATCACTGGGTTTTCAAAATTACAACTTATATAAAACATATCACACGGCGCATCGATTTTTCGATACAGATCCGAACGTTGTTCGAATCTGACACGTGGAATAGAGTTCATAGAAAATTGCAGGTCCTGTTCTCCGAGGTTTGGCACACTCAACAGTTCTCCCCATGGTTTGGGCGGAATGGATTACTCTTCGCGTTCAAGATGACTGCGTAGACCAGAAGGGGTGAACCTAATCCAATAGCATTTTTCATTTTTCGCAGAGTGCATAAAGCGAACAGCAGGCTGGGTTTCGTCGGAATTGAATACACCGATCAAATCTTCATCCTCCAACAGTTTCTGGGACACCGTCAAGCTTCCAAGACCAACGATTTTCGGATCATGAAGCAGTCACGCGTCCTCCAATGCCATCCATTGAACTGCATTAGGGAACTGTTTGTCTGCAAATATGTGGATCCTCCAATGGTTGTATGGTCGTATCTCCGATAGAATTCCAGTTTACATGTATTCAGTTTTCGCTCCGGTTTATGGGATGTAGTCATTCCACTAATCATACTAACCGAGCAGATAAATCCCAAGGTCTCCGAAACGACTTACGCGACTGGTCGATCCAGTTTATATCAGGTCACGATCTGACTGCTTTGACATTTCAAACGATGCAAAATGCAAGGCTACATATGCCCCAGCCGTCGCAAGGAGATTAAGCAACTGCATAAAAGTAACAGTTCTCGTCGACCCTGGAAGCCAGTTGTGCCATCACACTCGCATGACGGCTTAAACAATGATGTTCGACATTCAACACCTACAAGAACATGGCCTGGGACTCGAAGCAGGTCGTACAAATTTAGCAAAATCGAGTGGTTATTATCATTTATCGGAAATGGTTGCATGCAACCAGTGGATCAGAAAATCAAAACATATGAATGGATGATATTTAGAGAAAATGATGCGACAGAAATGAGAATCGTGTAAGACGTGCTTACCAGTGAATAGATGGATTTTATTGTTTACGGAAAGGTCACGTACAGGTGAGCAACGCCCAAATAGAGTAATCAGAAAATTGGGAGAACAGGATGAAACTCGAACAAGCATACAAACTGCCAACAATAAATGACAAAAAAGACTGAATACGCCGGTGTCTTGACAGAGAGATCAATTCTTTTTTGTCCCCGTACCCGGACGACTGGACGATCGAGTAGCTACACCATTGGAAGAGGTGATCGTACTCGGACCAGTCGGGGTGTTGGTTTTAGTCTGGGCAGTGATCGACGAATCCGCTGTGCTCGATTTGTCCTGATCAATGCATGGTCGTTTAGGAGGTGCGCTCAAATTGTCTGACTCTAGTGATTGTTGAATCATTTCTTCAGATTGCATTATTCCAGCAACATCGTCTTCGTCGTACTCCTCGGGATTAACGGACTGCTCTACTTTAGACGAATCATCATCGTCCGGAGAGATACGACGGCGATAACTGTACTGTGCGGCAGTTGGTTCAATGCGCAATACCTATACGCAGAGAGAGAGGGATGAAAACAAGAAGAGTACTCCTTTCTTCCTTACATACAAGTGGATTTGGAACATCTGCTAACAACGAAGGCTACGAAAGCGGAAACAAAGATTTTAGGGGGCTTGATATATACCTACATAACGGTATATGGGGGATACAA